TGCATCTACAATTCACTCTTGCCCCAACAGAGCACTGTTTCCTGCCAATAACTTATAAAGACAAGGACCATGAACCACAATCAAAAAGCAACCACCTATCTAACCATCAGCCATTTCTCAGGTCCCAAGTTCACTGGACTGGCCTTGACTGCTACACCAGAGAACCACCAGAAAACTTAAAAATCTAAAGTCATTAGAGTATTAAGGATTAAGTCAGTAGAGTTCTAAGATGGCAATTCCTGCACAGTGGCCTTTGACAGAGTATCAGAAAGAATAAGAGATGAAGTTTATCTACTACAATTCTAGCCCTTACCCCTCACTCCAGTACAGCTCCTACTCAGCTTACCTCTCTTCACTGCCCCGTTGCTGTATGTCCTGTAGCTTCTCTACAAACTCATGGAATTTCATCTCTTCCCTGTTGGACCTTGGTTTAAAAGTCTGGAAGTTAGCCATCTTTTTCTCATCATAGTACAGGAATTTGTGGGTACTGGCACTATACACTGAGAAATCTCCATTGCCAATATTCTCTTGTAGATAATCCAGGTCCCATTTCAGGGCAGGATACACTAAGTTTGTGTCGGTCAATACCACAGGCTCCTGAGGAAAGAGTACCAGGCAAAAAAAAAAAAGTCGGAGAACAGTCCTTCAAGGTCCACTCCTGCAAGCCATACTCTATTTTATTCTTTCCAGTATCCCCACCAATCCATCCTAGGGGCATTCCCATGTCATAATGCCTCCTTGGACACTTCACCCCCAGGAACCTTATCCTCACTTCTTCCCTTATGTGTCCCACCCTTAAGATTACTCCCCCTTAACAAACTCCACTCGAACTGCTCCAATTTTCTTCAGACCCATCACACCACTTCCCTTCTGAACATCCCTACCACTTCACTCTCAAAACACCCCCCTCTGCCCAATTCCCTTTAACTCCGAATTTTAAAAACTCAGAAATCCCACCTCTTCCAAATCCTAGGACCGGACTAGTGCCACTCCACTGTCAACAAGCTCAGACATCCTAGACTTCCTCAAATGCACCCTTATTTCTCAAAGCTCCGACCTTTTCTTTTCCCCTTCCCCTCCATCCCAGAACCTCCCCTCACATGTTCCCCGCGACCCTTCCCCTCTCCGAGCTTCTCTCGGAAACCCCCCAGGGCCTATCAGGCCTCCCTTCCTCTGTCTTCCCCTCCCCGCCTCCACCTCACTCTCGATGAGCTCCTCTGCCGAGGATCGCTCTGGCTCAGGCGTGGGATGGGCTGGGTCCGAAAGCTATAGCTGCGGAGCTGGGACTCATCCCAAGCCACGCTTGGGGTCTCGGGCTCCTCTCGAGGGCCCCCAGAACCCGAGGCCGAGGAGGCCGCCGCCGCCGCCGCCGCCGCCGCCGCCGCAGCCATCTCCGCCGCCAAGCCCGGCTCCACCGGAAGCGGAAGTACCGCTTCCCCCTCCCCCACCTCTTCCGGAAGAAGCCACTGATGATACCATAGCGATGGCTAGAAAAGCGAGAGGGCACGGCGGAGAAACAGAGAACGCAGCGCCCCCTGGTTTGGGGGAGTGGAATCGTTACTGGAAGCGCTTTGGGGATCATCCAGACCCAATCACTACACGCTTCATACGTAGGGAATGTGCACAATGTACGCGAGCAGTGGAAAAAGACTCGGTTTCCCACAAAGCTATGGCCTCAAAGTGCAGGCGCGGATTGGAGGAGGAGGGCAGAGGCTGCTGAGAGGAGAAAAAGGGGGCGGGGCTGGTTACTCCTTCAAAAATAAAAGGAGCGCCAGGTCTGGAGTCCTTGAGCTAAGCGGAGAGCTGAAGACCTGCCAGAAGCGCAAGTAACGGAGGCGAGACTCCGAGAGAAGTACTGCTCTGTGCAGGAGCGTGGCATTAGGCGGCTTAGTCCTGACTAGCTGCTGCTGCTGCCAATAAATAAGCAGCGTAGGGCACTGAAGTAAACTGCAATTTATTCATATTCTGTATCACCTGCTTTTTGTCATGTACCCCTGCCCGCAAATTATCAAATTCTTGCTACCTTGGGGAGGAAGTGAGATGCAAGGGTCCAGCCTTTTTGCTGCAGACCTACCCCAATTGTCTTAAAGTTACCTATATAATTAGCCCATCAAAATGTTGTTACCTTGACGTACTTGTAATAAAATCCTTTTAATTTTCTTTATCCTGAGTTTTGCCTTGTCAATCGAGGTGAAAGCCTAAATGAAGAATTTTCCTTTCAACAATATATGCAGAATAAATTGGAGATGGTCTCAGAGGGAAGGCACTGGCATTAAGGAGTACCAGGAAAGGCTTCTGGCAGAAGATAGGATTTTAGCTGAGATCTAAAGGGAAGCTTGAAGGTGGAAAGGAAGGAAAGCATTCCAGGTACTAGGGATGGCCAGTGAAAATGCAAAGATGATGAACTGTCTTATGGGAGGAACATATGGTAAGCCAGTGCCACTTGGATCCCAGAAGACATGGAGGGGGGAAGTAAGGTGTAAGAACACTGGAAAGACAGGAAGGGGCTGAGTTATGAAGGGCTCTGAATGCTAGAGGATTTTATATTTGATCTTGGAGATGATAAAGAGTTTTGAATTGGGGGTGTAACATGTTTAGACCTATAGTTTAAGAAGATCAATTTGACAGGTTGAGTGGAGGATAGACTGGAGTAGGGAGAGACTTGAGGAATGGAGAACCAGAAGACCTGTAGCAGGGTGATGGTATTAACAGGTCCTAGCAACTGAGTGGATATTGGGTGTAAGGGTGAGGAGTCAAGGATGACACCTACATTGTGATCCCAGGTTACTGGGAAGATAGTGGTGTCCTCAACCGTAATAGGGGCTTTTGGGAAAGGAAAGGATTTGGGCTAAAAGATAACGAGTTCAGTTTTGTTTATGTTAAATTTTAGATGTCCAACAGGCAGCTGGAGATGGAAGACTGGAGATTTGAAGAGAGGTTAGGACTGGATAAATGTATCTGAGAATCATCTGAATAGACAAGATAATTGCATCCTTGGAAGCTGATGAGATAACCAAGTGAAGGAGTGTAAAAGAAGAGAGCCCAGAACAGGGCCTTGGAGGACACTGTGGGTGAAAATCATCCAGCAAAGATTGAAAAGAAGTCAGATAGCTAAGAGGAAAACCAGGACAGTAGTGTCTTGAAAATCCTGGAAAGAAGAGAGCAGCATGTGGTGGCTCCAGCCAGCACAGTTTCATGATTCTCTCCAGCTTCCTTCATTAGCACAAGAATAGCAGTGAACTCAGTGGATGGTTGGAGTAATCCAAGGCTGAGAGTAGGCAGGGAAGGGTCTTTGATATGGCAAGGAGGCAAGGGATTTTCGAGAAAAGAACAGTGTAGTTGAACTGATTCACTAAAGAGTCAAAATGGGGAAGGGAGGGGTATAATTAGAACAAGGGTAGAGGGATTTCTCCTATTGGTGATATAAATTTATGTCAGAGATTGACCTCTTATGGGCCTGGGGAAGGATAAAAACCCATTCCTTTGCCACTGGGGCTTGGAGATGGGCCCTGCTTTTAGTCCTTGGAGCCTTTATATGATATATAGCCTCAGATTCTAGGACTGGGTTCAAATTCTGCCTCTGATACATACTGGCTGTGTGACCCCCATAAATCACTTAACCTTTCAGTTGCCCTAGGCAACTCTCTAAGGCTATAAATTGCAAGGCAGATTTAAGTCTGCATTTTCTCATGGGGGGGGGTTCTCTATATCAATGAAATCACAAATCCTGTGAAAAAAAAGTATATGTATGTATACATGTATGTATAATATAACACTGAAATATTTACTAGGAGCTTTTTTCTTTTTTAGCTTTTATTTAGAATTTTATTTTCCCCAGTTATATGTAAAAACAATTTTTATTCGTTTTTAAAACTTTGAGTTCCAGATTCTCTCCCTTCCTACCTCCCTACCCCCTCACTGAGAAGGCAAGCAATTTGATATAGGTTATACACATGTAATCATGCAAAACATATCAATACTAGTCATATTGTGAAAGAAAACATAGACAAGGAAAAAGAACTCAAGAAACATAAAGAAAGTTAAAAAAAGTATGCTTCAATCTGTACTCAGACACCATCAGTTCTTTCTCTGGGGGATGGACAGCATTTTTCATAAGCTCTTCAGAGTTGTCTTAGATCATTGTATTGCTGAGAATAGCGAAGTCATTCACAGCTGACCATCCTACAATATTGCTGTTACTTTGTACACAGTACATTTCACTTTGCATCAACCCATGCAAGTCTTTCCAGGTTTTTTTGAGAACATCCTGTTCATCATTTCTTATAGTACAACAGTATTCCATCAATCACATACCACAACTTGTTCAGCCATTTCCCAAGTGATGGGCTTCCTCTCAACTTTTAATTCTTTATCCCCAGAAAAGAGTTGCTATAAATATTTTTGTACATATAGGTCCTTTTTTTTTTTAATCTCTTTTGGGATACAGAACAAGTAGTGGTATTGCTAGGTCAAAGCGTATGCATGGTTTTATAACCCTTTGGGCATAGTTCCAAATTGTAGGAGCTTGCTTCTTGTGGGTGAACTGGAATGCCCCAAGGGAGGTGCAAAAAATGAGCCAAATTCAACTGCTCCTGAACTATTTATCTGGGTGATGGCAACCCTATAATGCCAGGCCCCTGATTGAAGAGGGAAGAGTAGAAGATTCTCACCTCTCCCCTAGATTATTACAAAGGGCTCTTAATTGTTCTCTTGGCCTTAAGTATCTTCCTACTCTAGTAGATGTTATGTATTACTGCCAACTAAATTTTCTGATTATCCTATTGCCTCTAGGATAAAAGATAAACTCCTGGGTTTAGCTTTTAAAGTCCCACACAATCTAGCCCTAATTTATCTTTCCATTCTCAGTGTACATTACTCCCAATCCTACACTCTTCAGACTAGTCACACTGACCTTCTCTCTGATCATCACTCAAGCTACCCCATTTTCATCCCCATGTCCCTCCACCAGGTATCCCACATGCTTATGATGTACTCACTCCTCACTTCCACCTTATAGAATCCATCTCTTCAGGATGTAGCTCAAGGATCCCTTTATCCATCAAAGGTGTCAGACAAAATACTCCTGAGTACAATGGAAACCAGATTAAAATGTAATTGGGAAATATTTGACAAAATAGATAAAAATGCGATAGATCATAGATAATAATGTGTGGTTTTCTAAGACAGTATGCCCTGGTAAGGATCCTTAAGTATGGGTTTAGTGACTCATTTGAGTTTAACATTACTGTTCATGATTCTTTTCCCGACCCCAACTGTTAGTACCCTCCCCACCAAATTACCTTGTATGACTATTGATAGCTTTTATTTCTTCTTCTGAAAACTACCTGTTCATATCCTTTCAATTTTTATAAATTTAGCTCAGTTACCTACATCTTTGAGAAATGAGGCTTTCATCAGACAAACTTTCTATAAACTTTTTCCCCCAGTTTCCTGCTTTCCTTCTAATTTTGGGCTGCATTGGATGTGTTTGTGCAAAACCTTTTTTAATTTCATGTAATCGAAATTATACATTTTACTTCTTGTGATCTTTTGTATTTCTTGTTTGATCATAAAATCTCCCTTTACCATGGATCTGAAAGGTAATTTTTTCCATGGTCCCTTAATTTGCTTTAAGATATTATACTAAATTACGTACCCATTTTGACCTTATTATGATATATGGTGTGAGTTTTTGGTCTATGTTTAGTTTCCGCCAGACTGCTTTCCTGTTTTCCTAGCAGTTTTTGTCAAATAGTGAGTTATTGCCCCAAAACTCAGATCTTTGGGTTTATCAAACACTAGGTTACGATGGTTATGTACCTAATGTGTTCCACTGATCAACCACTCTATTTCTTAGTCAGTATTGGATTGTTTTGGTGATTACTACTTTGTAACATAGTTTGAAATCTACTGCTAGGCTACCTTTTTTCTTCACACTTTTTTGATTCCCTTGATATTCTTGACCTTTAGTTCTTTCAGATTAAATTTGTTATTATTTTTTTCTAGCTCTATAAAATAATTCCTTGGTAATTTGATTGGTATAGCACTAAACAAATAAGTTAATTTAGGTAGAATTGTCATTTTTATCATATTGACCTCAGCTACCCATGACCAACAAATATATTTCCAATTATTTAGATGTCTTTATTTGTTTGAAAAGTATTTTGTAATTGTATATACCATTGTCATATCCCATGACAGTTCTCAAAGATAAGAATTCACTATCTGACAAAAACTGCTAGGAAAACTGGAAAACAGTATGGCAGAAATAAATCAAAATGGGTACATGATTTAAACATAAAGGGTGATACCACAAGCAAATTGGGAAAACAAGGAATAGTTTACCTGTCAGATCTATGGAGAAGGGAAGAAGTTATGACCAAACAAGAGATAGAGAACATTATGAAATAAAAAATGGATAATTTTGATTATGTTAAGTTAAAAAGGTTCAGCACAAACAAAACCAATGCAACCAAGATTAGAGAGAAAGCAAAAAGCTGGGGAAATTTTTTTATAGCGATTGCCTCTGATAAAGGCTTCATTTCTCAAATATGTAGAGTACTAGTTAAATTTATAAGAATACAAGTCATTCCCAATTGACAAATGGTAAAGGATATGAACAGGAAGTTTCCAGAAGAAGAAATCAAAGCCATCTATATTCATATAAAAAATGCTCTAAATCATTATCGATTAGAGAAATGTAAATTAAAACAACTCTGTGGTACGACCTTACACCTGCCAGATTGGCTAATATGACAGAAAAGGAAAAAGATAAATGTTGGAGGGCAATGTGGGAAAATTGGGACACTAACAGACTATTAGTGGAATTGTGAACAGATCCAAGTATTCTGGAGAGCAATTTGGAACTACACCCAAAGGGCTATAAAACTGTGCATACCCTTTGATCCAGCAATACCCCTACTATGCCTGTATCCCAAAGAGATTTTAAAAAGAGGTGGGGAGGGGGAAAGGACCTATTTGTACAAAGATACTTATAGCAGCTCTTTTCGCGGTGGCAAAGAATTGGAAATTGAGGGGATGCTCATAAATTGGGGAATGGCTGAACAAGTTGTGGTATATGATTTGTAATGGAATATGTTTGTGCTATAAGAAATGATAAGCAGGCAGATTTCAGAAAAACCTGGAAAGACACACATGAACTGATGAAAAGTGAAGTAAGCAGAACCAGGAGAACTTTGTACACAATAGCAGCAATATTGTATGATGAACAACTGTGAATGACTTAGCTATTCTCAGCAATACAATGATCCAAGAAAATTCCAAAGGACTCATGATGAAAAATGCTATCTACCTCCAGAGAAAGAACTGATGGAGTCTAAATGTAGATCAAAGCATACTATTTTTCCACTATAACATATCAAATTGTTACTATTTCAGGGAGGGGTGAGGGAAAGGAGGGAAAGAATTTGGAACTCAAAAAATTTTTAAAGGATGTTGAAAAATTGTTTTTACATGTAATTGGGAAAAAACAAAGTCTTTAAAAAACTGTATTCATATAATTACATTCATATATACTCTCAGCAGTTTTAAATGGAATTTCTCTTTCTGTCCCTTCCTGCTGGGTTTTCTTATTAATATATAGAAATGCTGGTGATTTATGTGAGTTTATTTAAATCCTACCACTTTGCTAAAGTTGTTACTTGTTCAACTAGTTTTTTAGCTGATTCTCTAGGGTTCTCTAGGTACAGCATCATATAATCTCTAAAGTGATAGTTTTGTTCCTTGTTGCCTATTCTTATTCAATTTCTTCTTTTTTAGGGGGGGGTCTTATTGTTATAGATAGCATTTCTAGGACAACATTGAATAATAATGGTGATAATAGACATCCTTGCTTCCCCTCTGATCTTGTTAAGAAGGCTTCTAGTTTATCTCCATTAAAGAAACAAATTACCTTGTAATTATCTATTTTGTATTTGTAGTATTTTTATATTGATTCTGCATATAGTTATTTATTTGTCTCCCTTATTAAAATGTAAACTTTTTGTGAGCAGGGATTGTTTTATTCATTTTATTTGTATTCCCTAGCACCTGGAACAGTGCCAGGCACATAATAGGGGCATATAAATGATTATTGATTGATCAATGTGATTACAAGTCCCCTTCCTAAAACTGGTCCTCCCTGTACTACCAAGTGTCTAAATACCCCCATTTAACACAGGTTCCATACAGATAAGGAAACAGAACCTGAGAGTGGAAATGAGACTCCAACTCACCCTGACTTTTAGTCCGGGGATCTTTCACAGATCTCATCACAGGTGCAACACTCCCAAGGGCAGCCTGAAACAGATTAACAAGTAACCAGGAAATATTTAACAAACTAAAAAAATACAATAGAACATCAATAATGTCGATATGTGGGGGTTTTTTTAAGTCATTATGTGGACCGCAGGGATCAGGTTAGTGGCCCTGTTTCTATTTGACACCACTAGACTACACTATGCTGCTTCTCTTTGATCTCTCAGCCTTTGCAAAGATGAAGTATCTTATTTTCTCTTCCAGTATGGAACAGCAACAGCTAGGGACAGGAATCAGTCAACTCAAATATGTTTGCTAAGCCTCCCAGGGAGCCTTTGCTGCCTCCCAGGAAGAGATGAAACAGTAGATGAGGCAGGCTTGCTCTTAGGAACTCACAATCCGGTTAGGAAAAGAAATTAACTATATACATGAGAAAATAATCTTGGGGAGGGTGAGGGAGAAGAAGAAATTGGAAGTGATTGCAATCTCTCTAACTTGAGCAACTGGAAAGATGTTAGTGCTCCTGATAAAGAACCTCAGGAGAAAAAAAGGAAGAAATAAAAAAAAAAACTTCAGGTAAAGGACCAGGAAGGGGAAGAAGGGGGTATGATGAGTTTTTTCTTGGACAACTTTAATTGGAAAAGGCTTCTGCACCCCCAGCAGAAAAAGACAACTGGAAATGCGTTTCTGGTCCAGCTGGAGAAAGAGATCGGTTAGGGCTGGACAGATGTGGCACTTCCTTGCACAGGCGATAACAGAAGTAGGAAGATGGGATGAGAGGGCAGAGCGGAAGAGGGGTCGAGACAGATGCTACCCTCGGGTTTTAGGGGCACTGGAGGAGGGGCAGGACTGCAGTACGTATCCTGGAGCGGCCAGAAGAGGAGAAGCACCAGGGAGGCGTAACCAGAGTGAGTTTGGGGGCGGCCAACTTCCCGTCCCTAAAACGGCACCTCCTTCAGGACATTCACCTGCGAGAGCCATGGGATCGAGCCCGCCTCGGACTGGCATAAAAGTCCTCGGTCACTTGGCCTCAGCCCCTTCCTCACAACATCTTTCAATACGTGGCCCCCGCTCCAGGTCCCAGGGAGTTCAGTAACCGCGGAGCGGGGGCAGGAGCTTCAGCTCCCCGGGTCCCCGAGTCCCTGCATCCCAAGCCCCTCCTTCTGGCAGCTGCCCCACGTGAGCAGAGCTCCCAGCCCAGGGGACTCTTTTCGGGCTCTGCTCGGCCGCCATAGAACTGGCCTGCGCCTGCGCGAGCGAATCTTGAGGAAGGTTAAGATGGCAGCCTCCATGTCTGTGTCCCGGGGAATCCAATGGCTGGGGACAGCGGCCCGGCGGGTGACCCCTCTGGGGGCCCGCGCAGGTCGGGGGGGGGATTTGGGGCTCGAGGGCGGGGCGGAGCGGAGGAGCGAGGGATCAGCGGGGTGGGGAGGGTTGGGTAGGGCCGGAGGGGGGGCGGCGGCAGCGGGGACGTGCCGGGCTGCTAGCCCCTAGGGTGGGATCTGACTTCGGCGTGCGCCCTTCCCAGCCTCGGGCCTCCGCAAGGACATGCTCCCGGGACCGTACCCCCGCACGCCGGAGGAGCGCGCCGCCGCCGCCAAGAAGTATAATATGCGGGTGGAGGACTACGAGCCCTACCCCGACGACGGCTTCGGGTAAGGAGGTTGCCTCAGGGGCTGCATCCCCCTCCCCAGCCTGGGCTGCCGACGCCTAGTGTGTCGCGGGCGCTCGTGGCTTTTTATCAACAGATGGCGAAGTTTCCGTTTTGTTTGTTTTGGTCGTGTAGTTGCCAGTCAGGATGGGAGCCGGGGCAGCTGCTAGGCCCACCGCACCTTTGGGCTTCACTTTGACCCCAGCTGCCACCTTGAACTTGAGCAAGGCAGGATCCAGCGACAAACTCAAGGCTTCCCAAGGATCCTTCCATCCTCGGTGGTCTTGTACTCACTTGTGCCCAAAACAGAGCTCATTCTCCTTCCTCCCAATTTCTCCTCTCTGCCCAGCTTCCCAGGGAATGTCTAGGGCACCACCGTCCTCCCAGTGGCCTGGGATCACAACTTAGGTGTCATCCTCAAGTCTTGCCTCCGCTTGCAGGTCATATCCAGTCTGTTGCCAAATCTTGTTTCTACCTTAACAACATCTCTCATATATGTCCCTTTTTCTGTACTCACAGAGCTAATAGCAACACTGGCACAGTTTCCCGTTATTTTATGCCTGGTCTCCCAGGATCTTCCAGGGCCTTCCTGTGGTGTCTGTCACCACCCAGCTGCCAGAGTATTCCTCCCAAAACCAAGGTCTGCCGTATCACTCATTATTCAATAAACTTCAGTGGTTCTCACATAAAATCTTTTGGCTTCTACCTTTTCAGTCAGCTTACACTTTACTCCTCTCTACATGCTTTGCTGTCCAGCAACACTGGTCTACTTGAATTTCTTCTCACATGATACATCTCTCCATTCCTTACCTTTTCGCTGGCTCTCCCCCTGCCTGCAATGCCCTGCCTCCTCTTTTTGTCCTTCTGTTCTGTGTCTTTCCTCAGACCTTAGCTTAAATCCCACCTTCTGCAAAAAAGCCTTTCCTGGCTCCCTCATTTCCTGGCTCTCTGTTGTCTCTTCTCTGAAATTGCCTCCCACTTACGTTATCTATATTTTATACATACATGTTTTTTTTATTAATTTATTTTGATTTATCAACAATCACTTCCATATGCTTTTGAATTTAAATTTTTCTCCCCCATCCTCCCTACCACCCTCCCCAAGATGGCACACAATCTGATATAGGCTACACACTTACATTCCTATTAAACATATTTTCACATTAGTGATATTGTAAGTAAAAATTAAAACCAATAGGAGGAACCATCAGAAAGAGGAAACAAAACTCAACAGAAGATAAAAAAAAAGATAGCAATTCAACTTCCATAGTTCTTTCTTTGGATGTGGATAGCATTTTCCATGACAAGGCCTCTGGAGATATCTTAGATCCTTGTGTTGCTGAGAAGGGTCAAGTTTATCAATATTAGTCATTGCACAGCGTGGCTGTTATTGTGTACAGTGTTCTGTTGGTTCTGCTCACTTCACTCAGCATCAGACCATACAAATCTTTCTCGGTTTTTCTGAAGTCAACCTGTTCATCATTTCTTACAGCACAATAGTATTCCATGACATTCATATACCACAACATGCTCAGCCATTCCCCAATTGATGGGCATCCCCTCAATTTCCAATTCTTTGCCACCACAAAAAGAGCTGCTATGAATATTTTTGTACATGTGGGTCATTTTCCCACATACGTAGTTTTTTTACAACGTCTCCCCCATTACTATGTGAGCTCCTTGACTGCAGGGATGGTGTTTTTTACTTTCTTGTAGCTTCAGCATTTAACACAGTGCCTGGAACATAGTAGGTGTTTAATAAATGTTTGTTGATCCTGAGTGCTAGGTTCTGTACTGTAGTAAGAGCCGTTTGAATTGTTCCATCCGAGGGAAGGCTTACTATTTATAATCCGTAGAATCGGCAATAGAATTAGAAGGATCCTTAGAAGTCATCTAGATCAACCTCCTATTTTTACAGGTAAGAAAACTAAGGCCTAAAGACGAGCTTTGCCCAAGGTCACACAGGTTAGTAGCAGAGCTAGAATTTGAACTCAGGTTTTCTGATTTTAAGTTCCATGCTATCTCCTAAATACCCCATTGTCTCCTACACAGAGGTATACATATGACTTATTTCTCACTTTATGTGGCTTTTACTGTTCTTTGATTTTCTGTGCTTTTCTAGGCTGAGTGGTCTTTCTGTGGTCACCATAACAATTGTTGAATAGGTCAGGTGCAATTGAAATCTTACTCCTACCTAATTGAGTCAGTCATTCAACAAACATTCAACAAGCTGTTCATAAACCCATACTTCAGGCACTGTAATCATCACTAGAGATCCCAAAACAAAACAGTCCCTTCCTCAAAGGCACTTACAGTCTAATGGGAGAGAACAACACCTAATGTGGCAAGGAACAGCTAACTCCAGTTATTCACTTGCCTTGTTAAGATTTACAAAGCACTTTATACCCATTATCCCACTGTACAGATGGTCCTGTAGTAACCAGAAGCATCTATTCAACATCAGTGGTTATAATGAGAAAGAGGAATCTGTCTGTGATGTTTCCTTCTTTTTTTGCTTTCTTCTATTTTTGGATTTGACACTAACATTGAAAAATGACTTTGGAAAAGGCAAATAACCTAAGCCTCCATTTTCTCATTTATAAAATTAGGGAATCAGATTTGATGGTCTTTATGGTCTCTTCCAGCTTGTGTGTTCTGATTCTGTGATTCTTCCTGTGAATTGAAAGAAAGGAGAGAATATACATTTTTGACATTTTCACATGAACAAAGTTAAACTGTAATTTGAGCTTACATAGCAGTGTCATTCAGTAACTAGAATTTGGGTCCTTGGTCTAGGTCTTCGCTCAAGCAATCAACAAGTGTTTATTAAGTGCCTACTATGTACCAGGCCCTGGGGATACAAATACAAAGAATGAAGCCATCTCTACTCAATTTGCTTACATTGTAATGAATGAAACAAGTAAATGTGAAAATAAATGCAGTGAAATTATAAAGTTAGTAAATACCAATACATACAAAAAAGTAACTACCTTCAAGGTAATTTGGAAGGGAGGGCACTAACGGAAATTAAGAAAGGCATCATGCAGAAGTTGGTGTTTGAGCTGTGTCTTAAAGAAAAAGAGGGACTCTGAGACAGAGTTAAGGAGAGAATGCATTCCTGGCATGAGGGATGACCAGTCCAAAGTCATGAAGATGGAAGGTGAAATGTCATATGGGGAAGAAACAGAGAAGGCAGTTTGACTGAATTAACAGTGTGGGACAAGGAGTAATGTCTAATGAGGCAAGAAAGATGGATTGGGGGGAGATTACGTAGGGCTGTCAGATCTAGTCAGAGAAGTTTATGTTTTGTTCTAAAGGCACTAGGAAGCCAATGGGGTTAATTGAGTAGAGAGAGCTCTTGACTGGATCTATACTTAAGGAGCATCCCTTTAGCAAGTGGCCTGGAGTAAGATGCTGAGTTTCTTTGTGACTTCATTTCTCTAATTCTCAGGTGAGGTATCTCCAGTTTCCCTGGGTTGTTTGGGCCTCCACTCAAGACTTGCTATTATTTTTCAGGCGTGGTGACTATCCCAAGCTTCCGGACCACTCTCAGCATGGACGAGACCCATGGTATGACTGGGACCATTCAGAACTGCGGCTGAATTGGGGTGAACCGGTGAGAAAACAATACTCCTCCTTTTCTCTTTAAATAGTTCAGTCATTCACAGGGTTCTCCATGATACTTAAAGTATCCTAATTCCCATGCTTGGTGAATCTTCCTTTGAACCCAGGTGGCAACTGAATCCTGTAATGGAGAAGCAGTATATCTAGTTAGCTGTAAGCTTTTCTGCCTCCCAAGGAACTGGGTACCCCCATGGCAAACTTTGTAACATTAGTGATTGAGCTGCCCTCCCTAAGTAGCCAACAGTCAGAGATGCTAGCCCCACCCCCTAGTTTCCCCTTGGTGCCTCTTCAGCCACCCCTAATTCTTGGATTGTCATTGTCGTTTGAGAAAGGTACAGTCTCTTAAGAACACAGCCATCGGGAGTGCAAGAGCCTCTACGAGGCAGTTTCTTCAGAGGTGTTCTGCGCTGCCTGCCTGTTGTTCAGCTAACAACATCGTACACTAATCTATGTGTTTGTTTAGATGCACTTTGACTTTGATATATACACTCGGAATCGTGTGGACACGTCCTCCACGCCTGTCTCCTGGAACACCATGTATAAGTGTTTCTTTGGCTTCTTCGGCTTCATGATGTTCATGTTCTGGTTAGGACAGGTGTTCCCTTCCTATCAGCCTGTGGTGAGTGTCCAGGGCAGATATTCTTAACTTGGGGTCCGCAGAAAAATTTCAGGGGGATCTGTGAACTTGGATGGGAGAAGAATTCTATCTTTATTTCAGCTAAATTTTTAATTGAAATTTAACCTTTCCTTCAGTTATTTAAAAACATTACTCTGAGAAGGGGTCTTTGGGCTTCACCA